CTTTTCAGCACTTCCAAATAGTAAACTTGGTTAACTGTTTGTCCAGTTGGTACAAATTCATAATGAATAATCCCTCTGATATCAAAAAATGGTTAGCAACAAGTTCGTGAACTTAATTGTCATACCTTCGTATTTTGCCTGGGCATGAAACATGGTTAAAAAGATACCGTTTAATGGGCTGGCCGAGTGGCTCAGTTGGTTAACAGTTGGCTTAAGAGCGTGAGCTCTGAGCATCAGGGCTGCCAGTTCGATTCCCACATGGGCCAATGACGCTGTGCCTCAGCTGAGCTGCCAATAGGTGGCAGGATGGCTCAGCTGGTGTAACAACAAGATTGCCTGTTCGATGGTGGGCTATGCTCACCCGCAACTAAGACTGAACTCCACACCTTGAGCTGAGCTGCCGCCCGGATGGCTCAGTGGATAGAGCATGTGCTCTTAACAAGGTTGCTGGTTCGACTCCCACATGGGATGTTGGCTACGCCAACCCGCATCTAAGATTGGGTACAGCACCTTGAGCTTAGAGGCCATGAGCTGCTGACGGGCAGCCAGATGGTAACTGGCACCCTCCACAACGAAGACCGAAGAACAACAACTTGGCTGGTCTCTTTCCCCGATTCCCCCAACACTGTTCTCCTCCCCTAACTCCCCAATAAAATCTTTTAAAAAAGAAAGATACCGTTTAGATCATAATATTCTCTTTACAAAACTCTTTGAAAAGCACCTCCTTTTCTCGGAGTCTCCGCCTGGCTGGTTTGTTTCCTGTGCAGGTGAGATTTGCTTCCCTCCCCGGCTCTTCTCCTTCAGCTTCTCCTTCGCTTGCTTTTTATTTAAGTAAAAACAAAACTCGTACAAAGTAATTTCAAATCCTTAACAAAATGGACAATTTCCTAGGAAAAGATAATTTGCCAAAACAGACAACAGAAGAGATTAAAAAAAAATCTAAATAGATTTCCATAAAATAAGTAGAAGTGTTTCAACTCCCTCTCTTCCCCAAACACCAGGTCCAAAATATTGCACAGGAAAATTCCCTCTTTTTTCCTCATAGCACTTTTATTTTTAATTAAAATAAAAAAACCATATTGTGGGCCGGCCGAGTGGCGCGATGGTTAAGAACTCGCTTGGGACGCCTGAGGGCCCCGGTTCGGATCCCACATATGAGGGCCAGTGACACTGCCCTCTACAGCTAAGATGCTGAACAACAGCTCAACC